ACACACACACACACACACACACACACACACACACACACACACACACACTTACTTCCATACACTTAGGGCTCGGTCTTTATTGAATTTGGAGGTATGCAGCTTTTCTTCCCTCCTAATATAAATCTGTATTTACAATTTAGAGTAGTTAAATTTAAGGTTCTGCCAAAATGTATATGTAACAAACAATTAATGGCTTCTCTTCCTTCAGGAGATGATCACTCTCACTGACATAAATGCAGTTATGAATGGTTGCTCTCTGCCCTGCCTACTCCATGCATTGCAATGACTCAGACATAGAGACTGTTTGGCGACCCTGCTGGCAACCTCTGGCTGCTAAGGAAAAAATGTGCAAGGTTGGAGAGAGGTTGCTTGAGGCTGATGGCTTTCACCAGGTCAAATCAGTTGCAAACCTTCTTGTGGTTGTTGTGGTTGCTAGTGGATCACTGTGGTTTCCTCTAGTTTGCATGAAAGATGTATGGGCTTCCTAAGTTTCAGTACTGCCTAAGCTGTAATGAAACTTGAGAAAGTGTGATACAAAATAAAAGTTGTGCCCTTTGAAGTACGTTGGTTCCAGTAGAAAGGCACAACTTTGGCTTTTGTGGCAAACATTTTCCATTTCTTTGTGCTCCAGGTGATAAAAGAGCAACATTATTAATCAATATACTGACCTGGTTTTCATAAAACTTAATGTTCTGTCATTTGACACTATTATTATGAATATTAAAATTATTTTACCTCTCTGTTTGATTTGTAGCATTAAAGGAAGAATTTCTGTCTTATCCTTGTTCTGGACTTTTGCTGTTTCCAAAGTTAGTTCCAAACTCTGATGATCAATTTCCTCTTGTACCAGGAAATGTCAAAACTCAGAAAATACTTACATGACCTCTGCACAGGACTCTTTCTGGACAGTTCTACATGTCCAGAAAGAGTCCTGTGTGGCAGTGCTGGTCGAGGGGGGGGGGTGCATCCGGGCTCCAGTGTCACTCATATATGGAAACATAGCGGAGGGGGTTGGCTCCTTAGTTGGTCCAGAGTACCTGCTAATTGCCCTGTGGGTATCGGACACACACATATGCACACACAGAAGATCTATTGTGTGTGTCCGGGTGAGGTAGAGAGCTGTAATGCGGCCAGGAGTGGATGTGGCTGACAGACTGACTGACAGGCGGGTCGCCATGACGATCCTTTATCGTGAAACGAGTCAGTTCATCGCCGTCATTCTTTTCATCGTCCTCGTCTATCTGTCTGTCCATCTCCATGTCTTTTTCCACTCTCTCATCAGCTCTTCCTCCCCTCCCTCACCCTCTGGTTGGCTCCCTCAGTTTTTTTTTTTGTGTAACAGCAGCACAGTCACATTTTGCTGTTACAAAATTTCATCTACCGCAACCTATGAGTATCTGCTGTTTGATTTCATCTCAGCATTGCATGGAAAGGAAACAGAACTCAGTTTTGCCTCAGGCAATAATGAAAAATAGTTGTCTGAAGATATTCAAGACTGGCCTTGTGCTTAAACATGAACACAACTGATAAAAGTTGCTTGACGCACGGCAACCCACGAGCCACATCTTGTCATAAAACTCACAAATAACTCAATAATTAAAAGAAATTGTGGCATATTTTTCCCAAATCTTCCTCCGCAGAGCCACAGACCCAAATTCCAACATTCAGCAGGCATTAGTGTCTTTTTTGCTGTGTTGTATGGGTAGAGGGTTTCACGCATGTTTTGTTTTAACATTTTATTTTTTATCAACCATGATTTTGCTCTCTTACCTTCACGAAGGTTTTTAATTGTCCACAGTCTTTCATTTATGTCACAGTTGCATGTGCAGGTATTGTTATCGTGCACTATTTTTTTTTAATGTTATTCAGGATTTTGCAGAATTTCCCAGATTTCTTTTTGTCTTTTTCTATATCCATGTGATCCGAATAAGAACAGGAAACGAGACTGTGTATTTCTGCTGATTAGAAATAGTTATGTGAGAAAGTAAATAAATCTCACTTGAGACCTCAGTGGAAACACTATTAAAAAGACAAATGTTCATACAAAATGATACGGTGATTATTTCCCTAAAAAGCTGTAGAGGGGAGCTTTGAAGAGCTGGAACAAAGTAGTTCCTCATTTTTCAGTGAACTCAGATCAGACTAAATACATCAGCTGTTTTTACACATGAACTCGGTACAATTTCTGCAGATTCAAGTCAGCATGTGTAACAGACAGCAGGAGATTTACCCGCGTCAGATGTGCTCTCACTTCTGGAAACGCTCTGGCAGGGTAAAGTCTGATTGGTGTCCGGTTCTCACATGCAGCTGCTCCAGGTAGTGTTTAAAAACATTCAGAGCTGTAGTGCCCGTGTGAAACAGCTTTTGTTATTCTCATGCTGTTGGAATGTAATGTGAGTATCACAGCAAACATGCCTCCATTCCTTCACCAAATCAAACATCATCATTCAGAAGGTCAAACATGAGAGGTACGTGCACTGCATTCATTGATTAAACAAACATTTCGCTTGAGCTGCGTGTAAAAGTTCAGGGTGTGGAGTTTTATACCCAGTAGCTGTGATCGATCTGAGAGAAAGGTCAGGGGTCATTTCCTGTCAGTGTCTCCTCTCAAACAGTAGCTGATCGATACAGGAGGGGTGAGGTTTACCTGATAAGACAGATCCTTGCTGATACCACTAAAACAAAACCAGTATGTGTTACTTTTCAATCTACAGGGTGGGCCATTTATATGGATACACCGTAATAACATGGGAACGGTTGGTGATATTAAAGTCCTGTTTGTGGCACATTAGTATATGTGAGGGGGCAAACTCCTCAAGATGGGTGGTGACCATGGTGGCCATTTAGAAGTCGGCCATCTTGGATACAACTTTTGTTTTTTTTTGTTTTTTAATAGGAAGAGGGCCATGTGACACATCAAACTTACTGGTAATGTCACAAGAAAAACAAGAAGTTTCAACGTAACTTTATTCTTTCATGAGTTATTTACAAGTTTGTCTTTGTTCACAGCCATTGACATGTCGAAGAGGTTAACACCTGAGGAGCGGATCGAAATTGTGTTGATATCTGGTGAACACAGTAACCGGGTCATTGCAGCAGATTTCAATGCAAGACATCTTCCATGCTACAGTTA